TTATATATATATATATATATATATATATATATATATATATATATATATATATATATATATTATATATATATATATATATATATATATATATATTAATCTAGTAATATCATATAAGTATAGGGTTGCATTTTAACTTTTCAAAAATCTAGGGTTTGAAATTTAAAGTTGTCTGAATTAAACATTTAATCCAAATATAAATTTCAAAAACTTTAGGGTAGGTTTTAAACATTTAAAACATGAGGATCAAATAACAAATAATTCCAATTAACAATTAATATTCTAATTATCTTTATTGATTTATCTTGATTTCTTTGAAGATAATTACCAAAATAATTAATTATTATCATATAAGGAAATTAAATATTTTATTGATGATAAATATCTTTAATTAGATCAAGATAATAGTCATATTTATCAAAAAATCGGATTTACATTGATCTAATATGATTAAGGTAAGTTTCCATAAGATAATTATGAAAAAATCCCGAATCTGGCCATTCCTGACGCCTGGACTCGCCGAGTGCACAAGGGGACTCGCCGAGTCAGGCCTACTCGACGAGTCCACCTTGGAACTCGACGAGTCAGTGACTCAAAACCCAAAAAATCGAATTTTGCAGGTTTGTTTCAGTTATTCAAGCAACAATTTAAAGAAAACCAATCTAGGCTCTGATACCACTGTTGGGTTTTAGCCATAAGAACTTTCCTATGTGCGCATGCAAAACCCTATTGCTTGGATCTAGGCTTTCTAATAAACATGCTTTTGAATCCAAGACTTCTAATGGCTAATTAGGTTAAACAACAATATTAAAACAGATCTAGAATCATACCTTTGAATCCTTGTTGATCTTGTTTGTCTTGGAGCTTCTAGAGTCACAATTGTCACTCCTCTAATGGCTTACAAACACCAATAGCAAGCAAGATGATTTAGGAGAGAGGAGAGGGGAGGAATTCGACCAGAGGTTCCTTGCTTTGGTTGTGTGTCGAATTCCTCACCCATAGGGCTATTTATACTTTAGACTCCTTAAGGGCTTCACCCTAAACCCTGATTGGATAATCTTCTCTTAAGGCTATCCAAATCCATTCCATAGATAACCCTATGGACGATTTTGAGCTATCCTAAAACTCTTAGAATCCGTCCAAGGTGTATCCTAATGGATTTATAGTCTAAAGTCTAACTATCAAACAATTGACAGTTTATACCCTCTTATTTAATTAATCTCTTTAAGTCACCAAATTAATACCAATTAATTTATGACTTATATTAATCAAATAGCTAAATATTATTCCTTATAATATTCACTCTCTCTTAATAAATCATCCTTCAAGTTGCTATGGTGAAGGCAACCCAAAAGGACCATGCACCACCGAATATATTTATAGCCTTAGACACTATTCCAACACATTGTCCGTTTTAGCCTTCTGAGAGGAACCCTAAACCGATTGTGTGCATCTGCAGCAAGGCTAAAGGCCATTGGTGATTTTGAAAGAGTTGTTGTGCAAGGAAGAGAAGGGCTTGGCTAAAGGAACAGCAAGGGAATCACGTTCTGAGGTTTGGGGACACAGAGAGTGCATTATTCAGGTATGAATTCGGGTATACTCTGCTATGGTGATGTATTTAGAGGATTAGGGTTTATGGAACCCTTTTTTTTGGATAGATTGAATGTTACCCCTAGTCCCCCAAATGATTGTAACATTGTGTTGGGACCCTTGGAGGTCCAGAATACCCCCATGTCTGTGCATTTCGGTAATTGGTGAAGGTTTTGGATTGAAATCCTTATGCCTTAGGTCAACATGTGAATTATAAGTCTTGGGGTGTAGCATGAGCACCGAAATGAGGACCATACATAATGGATCAGTCTAGGAAGGCCAGACCTATGAATGGTCGGAGCAGTTCTGACCTTAGGGAGCAGTTGAGCGGCTGCATGGCATGGACTCGCCGAGTCAGATGAGCAGACTCGGCGAGTAGCTTGAAGAATAACTGGGACTCGTCGAGTTGTTCCTCAGACTCGACGAGTGGAGTCGGGGTGGCCCCCGCGATTCTTTCAGGAGTAACTCGTCGGGTCAAGGAGGATACTCGACGAGTAGTAGGGAAACCTTAGAGGATTGGAGGACGACTAGACTCGCCGAGTCGTCAGAGTACTCGCCGAGTTCGGTCGAGTTGACCGTGGACCGTTGACCAGAGTTGACCCATGTGTGATTTCTTAGGGTCAGTTAACATGGAAGATAAAAGTATTAATAAGAGATATATGATGTTATAGGGAGCTTGTAGCTCGGCGAATCAAGTACGAGGGATTTCAGGAGTTGCTAACTTTCAGTATCCGCGAGGTGAGTCTTCTCACTATACTGTACCCGGAAGGGTTTGACTGTGTGACCGGAAGGTCGGATATGATATGTGATATACGTGCTATATGTGGTAAGATAATTACTATGCGTGCTATGTATGTTTATATGGGCCGGAAGGCAATATGTATGGGCCGGAAGGCAATATGCTACGTGATCGGAAGGTCGGATATGATATGTGATATATGTGCTATATGTGGTAAGTTAATTGTTATATGTGCTGTGTATGTTTTATGGGCCGGAAGGCAATGTGTTATGGGCCGGAAGGCAATATGTTATGGGCCGGAAGGCGAATATGTTACGGGCCGGAAGGCGATTATGTTAAGGGCCGGAAGGCGGGTTGTGTTGTGGACCGGAAGGTCAGGGCCTGGAAAGGCGTATATGCGTAAGTTGTATATTGGGGAACTCACTAAGCTCCGTGCTTACAGTGTTTTGTGTTATGTTGTTTTCAGGTTCTTTCAGTAACACGGGATGGCACCGGCTCGATTGTACACACCAGAGAAAGAGTCAAATTTTGGAGGATCCTGGTTTTCTATACAAGTGAAAATGAAACTATGCTTTGTAATTCAATTATGAACGAGATTTTTAACAAGTGTTTTAATATTAAAATGATTATTTTAAATGAAAATTTTGCCTTGAAATTTACGGTGTTACATAACATATTCTACAACTTTCATTTAGATCACTAAGGCTAAATATTACTCTAACATAAATTCACTTTTTATATCATTCAGCGTCGTGCCGGTTCTGTCGCGAAACTTCGACAAGTCATAACTTCTTCGTTATAACTTGAATTTCGGCGTTCTTTATGTGTACGGAATCCTTGTAACATATACCACAACTTAGATAAGATTCTTCATTCTAAATAATCTTCTATAAAAAAAGACTTTTTTGATGCTTATCGTCTCTAAATTGACTAGCCCGGATCTACGGCCGTTACAAGCGGACAAGTCACACTGTAGACTCGATATGCATGGTTGTTCTGTATTATGATATGTGTATGGTTATGTGGTTGGTATTTTTGGGGTAACTCACTAGCCTTTCGGGCTTACAGTTTCAGTGTATTGTTTCAGATACTTCAGGAGATCGTGGCAAGGCGAAGGCGTGATCGTACCGCTCCTCAATTTTACATTGATATTTCTGGGATACTCTGATAATAAATGAATTGAAACCCTTTTTGTAATAATTTAATGAATCTGGGTTGTTTTTGAAATATTCAAATTGGTTGGAAATTTTGGATGTTACAGAGAGTTTGTGTGTAGATCTATACGGGGGTGACTCCCCCACACCTGAGTTGTTCACTATAGTTAGACTCGGCCAGTTTAGGGTGACAAAATCTTGATCAAAACCGCCGTTTGTAAAAAATGCCAAGACGGACGAAATAATCATTATTATGCATGGTTATAACGTCTCACATAGAGATCCATTACCATTTCATCATACATGGGAAATTAAATTCATACATGTTGGCTATTGAATGTGAATTATGCGATAATACAAACTATCCTACTCTTTTAAATTGGAAAATATCGGATTTTCCTGGGAATAACATCATTTATTTAACATACATTAATTTCAATATAAGGAACACTTTTTCAAAGATATTCATTTATGCATGTCTTGAAGTCACGGATACTTATACATACATTGGATCATCACACCATAAATAGTTTTTATTTTAGAAAATATCGGATTTTCTAAGTTATACAATAATAGAAACCATTTTATTTTCAAACATTATTATGAACTCACCAACATTATATATGTTGACCCGTTTTCAAATAATTTGTATTCTCAGGTAACAAATAAAAGATAATTATCAAGTGTATTTGGATTTCATGTTTTGTGACTTTCAAACAAAATACATTATGGTTATATAATATTTATTCAATGTACTTGATGTGAACTATGACAGTTGTACTATATAATGTTGGTGATGTATGTGTTTGTTTCATGTATATTCATTGTAATGAGATTCAGTTGATAGTCACACAAGCCATCGGATGTTTCCATCATCCGGTTCAAGGGAGCCCTGGTAAAGCTCACTTGACTGCGGTAAAGAACATTCTCAAGTACCTGCGGAGGACTAAGGACTGAGTCCTTACCCTCGGTGGGAATGATGAATTGAGAGTGCCAGAGTATCGTGACGCCAACTTTCAGACCGACCGAGATAATTTCCGCTCTCAGTCGGGCTGGGATTTACCCCGAATGGAGGAGCAATAACTTGGAAAAGTTCCAAACAGGAGACTGTAGCCGATTCAACATGTGAATCAGAGTACATAATAGCAATCGAAGCAGCGAAGGAGGCAATATAGCTGAAGAGCTTCATTCGAGATCTTGG